AAGATTTCACTTGTTCTGGACGTATTATTTCAAAAATGAGAAAACAATGGAGAAAAATGCAATGATGATTGTTAAAATGAAATGAATTTGCAAATGAAAACTTTGCTTGCTGTCCTAATTAGCTTGATCTGATTATCAAAATATTCCTACCATGGATTTATCTCTAACAATGAAGAAGTTATCCTACTTATTAGACCATGCATTTGAGTTGGATTTGTAAGATGTGTTTAGCATAAAAAGATCTGCTAATAGGTGGCAATAGAGTTTTGATCCTTGTATCTATTTAAGGGGTCTTTTACTTAGCTTAGCACCATGTTTATTTTTATATGTTTCACTATGCCTTCTTTCATCATTGTGGATTAATATACTATTATTTGAGCTTTTCTTATAAAAGGTTAAGGAGGGAATTCAATTTTTGAGAGGATTTAATTTTTACAATTAAAATACAATACAAAAAAACATATATCATATATATATATATATATATGATGAAAAAAATTATTCATTATGTGCTATGTGAGAGTTTAAGTATTTTCGCAAGCATTAAAAATGATCCTATATTGTGAAAATCAATAAGATTTTTCAGATGTGAGGATCAATTTTGTAAATGATAATATGGATTTCAAAGGCCCATCATTAAAATTAATTCTCTTTTTTTAATTTAAATCAATAAAATATTTATGTCTCATGTGAGATTTCAAAAGTCTTTATAGAGATTTAAGTTAAGTGTATTATCGTGTTAGATAATAAATTCTCACAAATTTTGTGATTCTCAATTTATATGGTAAATAAATAAATAAATTTTTTAAATAAAATTATAAATATTTTTTAATAATAAAATTAATTAATTAAATTAATTTATTAAATCTTTTGGTCATATAAGATTTTTAAATATCTATAGACCTCTAGAATAATTATCTTACCGTGAAAGTCAATAAGACTTCGCAAGTATAGCGATTAAGATTTCTATGTTTAAAAATATAAATTGTATAATTATGTATTAAAATATATTTAAAATATATATTATTTAATCTTTTATTGTGTGAGAATTTTGAATCTTCGCAAATATTTAGGATAATCGTATTACTAAAAAAGTCAATAAGCTTTGCAAATATGATGATTAAGAGTTTTTTAAAAAAATTATATATGTATGAATGTACTAAAAAATAATAATATTATTAATATTTAAAAATTTAATTAAATAAATTAAATTGTTAAACTTTTTTATCGTGTGAGAGTTTGAATTCTCCGTAGATATATAGAATAATTGTATTACCGTATGAGCTAATAAGATTCTGCAGGTATAGCAGTTAAATTTTCAATCATAGAATATGTAAAAAAAATCTAAACCCTTTAGCTTTTTCTTATTCAAAAAGTTTAAAAATAGAAAAAATAATTGAAATTAAACCATTTTTTGTAATTTAAAACACACATATCAAAATTTTAAAAAATTATTTTATTTGTAAAATGGTGAATTATTTTTAATTAATTTCTTTTAAAAAAATAGTTTCACCAACAAACTTATAATCTCGAACTATGTGAACTTTGATCCTCATCACAAAGCACGTAGGCCTCAAAGTCAGATTCTAAGTCAAGTTCTCTCTCGTAAATAAATAAATATTTATCACTTAATTCTTATTATTTTTATATCAAACACATGAATATAAAAGGAATAATTAAAATAATTTTAAAATTATATTAATATAGCATAATAAGTTTCAGGTAAGCGTTTTCATAAACGAGTGTTATGGTGTGCCTAATATCTTTCCCACACTCAACTGACTTCTGAACCTATTCTCTAATTTCGCAGACCATCCTTATCCTTTTTTAAATGGTTTCCCAACATTTTTCTCAAAATTTTGGTGGCGACTCCTTGTTTCATCCGATTCCCACCACGAAGGCCGGAACCTCCGCTCACGCGATGTCCACATCACATTTTTTCGGTTGCGACACACGCCGTTAAGGATAGGGTTAAGCCTTTGGATTTGTCGAACGTAGAACTCAACGAGCTGCCTCAAGGTTAGTTGGTTTCTGTGGAAAGCGAGTTAGAGATCGGTTACTGTGGCTTCTCTTATTGAAAGAGGTTTGCAATTTATGGTTTCAGAGAGGAGGAGGAGGAGGAGGAAGGGAAAGATCAAAGAGAGTCTAAGCTCAGATTGGGAAACCATAAGTGACCGAGTAGCTCAGTACGTCAAGAGTAACTGCCATATAAAGTGAAAGAGTTTGTTGGATTAAGCGTGCTTATTGGAAGAGAACAAGTGTTCCAATCGACTGCATTTTTTCATTTCAATTTATAAAATATTTTTAAATAAAATCATGTATATAATAAAATTTATTAAATATATTTTATAATTTTTTGTTTAAAGTATAAATATAAAATTTAAAAATATATATTATTAATATTTCATTTGTGAACAAATATTAAAGAGAAAGATAATATGAGAAAAAAAAGGTAATATTTAAAAATTATTATTAATAAAACTTTCTTTTTATTAAAATATCTTATATTTTGAAAAGTTGAATCTCTTTCAACAATGTCTTGTCTCTTATAAATTTGGACAAAAGAGCACGCACACACATATATAAATCCTTGTGAATTTCATAAAATTTATCCATTTTAAAAAATATAAGATTTTTATTTAATAAAAAGACTAATAAAATAAGAAAAATTTATAAATCTCAAATTAGAGAATTTTCTCTCGTATATACATGCTGATAATAATTTTGCAATGGATTTGTGAGGGATAAAAATCTGTCTCAGAGGCAATGTTTTGAAACTTAGACTAGATGTCAAATTAAAAAGAGTAATAGGTCATGACTTTTATAGTTCAATCAGTTAGACCGCTGGTGATATAAAAATTAAATAAAAATAATATTTATATATACAAATTTATAAATAAAAAATTAATTTATCAATAGTGTTTGGGATCTCGACACCAAATGATAGACACCTAGACCATTGAAGCTGGAAGCAAAGGCATATCTGTATAAGCTCACAATCATGAAGCAAAATGCTAGAGTTGGAAGTACACTGTCATGTCACAACTCACAAGCTTTTGATTGCAATGCCAAAGGCCGAATTGCTAAAGCAGAAGGCAAAGGCTAGAGAAAATATCAGAGATTAAATCTAAATTATGAAGGAGAGATCAGAGATGAGAAAAGAGAGAGAAAAAAGAGAGAAGATAATTAGATATTAAAAAAGAGAAATCATGAATTTGAGTGACTTAGCATAAATTTTCTTTTTGTTTTTTTTTATTTTTTTAGCTTTAAACTAGGTTAATCCTCTCTAATTTTTGGGTTAAATCTAGTTCTCTTAAAACCAGCTAGGTCAACCCAATTCAAATACTAGATTGGCCCAATTGGTTAAACTAGGCTGTTTTGATCGACAAGTAGTGGTTGGATTGTTTGATCTGGGTCAAGTTTCAAAACACTACTCAAAGGAAATAAAAAATGTTGAGGGATGAAGTTGTATTATTAGGATTTTTAAGCTGTATTATCATTTATTTTTTATTTGGATTTGATAACGAGACAAAAGCCACACGAACAAAAATAACGAGAAAAAAATGGAGGGAAAGAAGTAGGAAAATGTTTTATTTTCTTATGTTTATGCTTGCATGAAATGAAGAAAAAGTAATCATGAATTTTATAACAAAAACAACAACAACAATAGCCACATGCATTATGTCTCCTTTTCTTTTCTTTAGAATAATCCTACCTATTTTTTTCTTTACTTTTCTTTATTTTATATTTTTTCTTGTTATCTAAATGGGAAAAAATAATGTTATTTTACTTATGTTTTCTCCTTTAATATTTTCTTAACTTTTTTAGAAACATGGTGAGCGGTGTTAGTACTCGTTAGTAACTTGGTAAAAATAGTATTGCCCTTTCCATTTTCGAGAGGTTGACCCAGAAGTTGTGATGTCATCTATTTAAGTTTTCTTTATTTTATTTTTAAGTATTCAGTCTTTGATGAATACAAAAAATATAATTACAAGGCCACAATGTCATTACCCATTAATTAGCCGTCTGTTTGGGCACATGGTTTCGCTGCTTGCATTGGTGGTAATGCATGGTGAAAGCCAATGAATGATTATGCTTTTATAATTGTGTACTTAATATTTTCAAAGGGTATAAAAATATAATAATTAGATAATAATTGAAATTCCAAAGTGACAATATTTTATAACTAGAATAATGCAAGAGTTGAAAAGTTTAGTTGAATACAAAAAAATAGAAAAATTCTACCAACCAAAAATACAAAAGTTTGGTTGAATAAAAAAAAAACAAGAAGAGGAGTTCTACAACAAAAAATAGAAAACTTTAATTGAATAAAAAATAGTTCAAGCTTATAAGCTAGCTAACATGATTTTATAAAATAAAAATATAAAAATGATAAACTCAAAATCAAATAATAAGTTTAATTAAATTTATATCTTGTCCAAATTTATGAATAAACTAACATAATTTTATAAGTTAAAAACATATGAATAATAAACTTAAAGAGTTTAACAACAATGCCTAGATCAATCCCCTCTCAAAAACTACAATGAAAATAATCAGGGGCTTATGAAAAATTAAGTATTCAACGATAATTTATATCCCATGATTGTTAATGATCTACTAGGATTAAAAAATCTTGAGTTTTAATATGACTTGACTTGTTTGTCTCTTTGTACAGTTTTCGCGCATTATATTAAGAAGAGGCCAAAAGGCAAAAACGAAAAGTGCAACCCTTACAAGACAACTCATATAAGCCTACCTGGCTCGTATCCCCACCGCAGTAGATTTTAAAGACTTGCGGATCAAAGCAAGTTGATTTGGATCAATGGCCCACCTATTATAGTAGCACATGGAATTGTTTAAGCTTTGCAATAACTGTTGCTTATCACCCCAAAAAAGAAGAAAAACAGACCTAATAAAGTGAATATGAACCCTAAGAAATCAACCGTGATATGTTTATTTATAAGCATGTTATGCCATGGACTAAAAAGATTCTACCATTGAGGTGGAATAATCATACATCGTATTATATGATTCCATCGAACAAGTTGAACCTAAGTATAAGGAGAAAAAATGATCACTGTACAAAGAACATAAATCTCCTCTCCCTCAAACCAAATCTTCCAAAATTGGTAAAATCTTGGGAGAATCACATATAGGTCCCTAATAAAAAAAAAAATTTATTTACAAGTCTCGTTCACTTGTAAATATTGATGTTTAACATGTAAATATAGAAGTTCAACTCATAAATAGATTGAAGAGATAATTAATTTTCTTATTTGGACCTAATTGTAATTCTCGCTAAAATCTGCCTGAGGTTGAATCTAAGCATAAAGTCCACATCTTTTCATCTTATGAAACTTCATTGGGGGATGATCTGACAAAGTGAACAAGGAATTCTGTATTACCCTCAGCACCTTTGAGAGGGGACTCTATCCAACCTTTACTGCAGAAACCAAGCATCTCTACGCCCTTTATAATCTTCTCAAGAACCTGCGTTACAAATTTCAATCAGCTTCATATCTTCCAGTTCCAGTATTTGCAAGTGCAAGTCAATGTTTATTTTGCTATGGTTTGTGTTTTCTCAGGACCATCGATATTAAATAGAATGAAAAAAGTGGAATGAAATGCATTATAATTGGGATAAAGAATTGTGCATGGTCAGGTTCCACAGAATTTAGTCGTAATCTCCTTTTAATTAATCAGATAGCCAAAAATACATACCTCTTGATGGACAGCAGGATCTTTCACTATCCCCCCTCTTCCTACCTGTACAGAAAGAGATATTCCAAATTTAGAAATAACACTGATGAAATGGAATTGAATGCTTCATCTCAATAACTCCACATCTCTTTAACCCCTACCATCTCCATGGCTCCCATATATTATTGTGTCATAATAAAAATCCATAACCACCTAATACTGTGATGCTTGTAACCTTATAACCCCATCAAGCATTAATGACATGCTTAATTCCCAGCTCAAAGAAGTGGACAAAAATAGCCTTAAGGATTGGTATAAATATGGCTATTTGCTTTGTTTCCATCATCCAGGAATAATATAGTTGTCTTTTTATTTTGATACAATTACCATTATTCATGGGCCAAGTTGGAAAGGACCATATTGGCGAAAAAACTTTCCCAATGAGTATTTAACAAAGTTGCATATTCAGTACTCAACTCGAGACTACTAGTTAAACTACAAATGATTAATTGCAATGGAATAGATAAATGAATTGGCTAGAAACAAAATTGATTGATTAGGGCAGAAAGACCAATTGGGATCGAAAAATTAGCATGGGCGATACAATTTTCTCTTTTGATACCTGATCTTTGTAAGTTTTCTCCCCCTTCCTTCAATGTGATCAAATGGCTTTTCATTATAGAAGAAAGCATTGGCTTGACTAATATTTACATTATATATAGCATGAACTTGGGTATCTTACTTGTGATCTGTGAGCTTCAAATTGCGGTTTAACTAAAGTTATCAATGCCGCATCTTCCTTCATGACATTAACCACAGCAGGCATGACCTGTCCAAAGAATAATTTAACCAACCATTGGAAGAATAAGGACCCTAAACACACTTAATAGAAGATAACAGCAAAGCATAGTTGTTTGGAGAAATTCTTGAATGGATCCGATACACCACATCATTTATGATTCATCAAATAAAAATATGACACTCAGATAATATTATTTTGAAATTGATTCTGATATTAATAGTAGTAGAAAAAGAAAAGACAAGAAATTAAATAGGTATTCTATTATAAAAATAAAGTCATTAAAAATAATGACATAAAAGATTTTATTTGATTGAATTGGTGTAATTTTATTGGATGGAACATGGATGACGGGGTGTATCGAGTACATCCAAGAATTTCAGTTATTTGTTACTGACAAATTATGGTGTGTACTGTAGCTTGTTGCAGAACAGCAACGACAATTGGGCAAGGCCACAAGAAACAGTTGAGGATTTAAAAGGTTTCTCTCTTTTTTATTTATTTGTTCCAGTATCAGTCACTTAGCTGGGCCGAGTTTCATCCCATTCTCTTGCTCCAGCTCTCACAAATCACAGCAAATTTTCATTTCAGCTTCTTCAGCCATTCTGACTATTCCTTCCCCTATTCTTCCTCTTTAATAAATTCTCATTATTTTTTTCCCTTCTTTTAATAGTTCCCTTTCTGACTATCTGAATTCTGCCGTCTTCTTTTGAGTTACTGATTCTTTACCTCATAAAACCTCCCCTCATTGTTCTGTACACACGTTGTCTCTCAGCTCAGGTTATCATTTTGTTTGGCCCTCATAATTAATTTGAGGATAGGACACAAGGTATATTATAGAATTAATCAACACTCAATAACTTAACGTGAACTGCTTTGATGACTGGCTTACAAATTGTAAATTTGTGATGGACTTGGGAATTGAAGAATAATTTCTATTAGAGATGTCACTAGACTGGACGGTAAAATTTGAATGTTTTGAGCATTTATGCTTAAAGTGTTTGTGTCCTCAAACACATCTAAGCATTTTTTTTCTCTATCTTTTCATTATTTTCAGCTTATATAATCATGCGCCCCACACTTAATGTTGCAGCACTTGATGCAGTGTGTTATACATCGGCTCCATTGTGCAATACACGCCATCAACATCAAGGGCTCATTGTAGTTTCCTATACTGTTTAAAAGCCCCCCCCCCCAAAAAAAAAAAAAAACTCATTCACAATATGATGAGACTATGCTCCTCCTCTAATGGCCCCTTTTTTTCTTTTTTTTTTTTCCAAGTAAAGCTTATAGATGAAAAAATAGGCATCCCAAACAACATTCCAGAGTCCTCCAATCATAAAATTAAGCAGTTTTTAAAATAATATGTTATATTATAGAAACTGAATCTTTACTGTGAACAAATTATGCAATATTAGAAGGGGGGAAATGGTCAATTACGTGACTGGATGACTGTGATGTCTACTTTTTCATCTGTAAGCTACCAATTGAACAATAAAGGGAGTGGGGGGGGGGGCATGGTCCCAAGACCCTATAAAATAGCAAGTTTCCCGAAGCAAAAAAATCCAAGACTTCCAGAGTTTTAGAAACAATGCGCATTTTGTAGTCACAATTTCTTTTAGTAGAGGAATTTTTGCAGATATAGGATAGCGGACAAGGAAAACTAGATATAGTAGTAGTTTGGCTTTTCTCTTATTTAACTCCTTACCAAGAGAATAGATATGAATGAAAGGTCTAACGTCACCAAATCAACCTTTTGGGGGAGTTCTGAAAGATATCTTAGATTTGTCCTTTCTATCACAGAAACTCGCTCATCTAGACGAATTTTGTCAGCTACCTAAAAAATGAAAAAAAAAAATACCATGAATATAATCACAAATATCAATTAATATGCATCAAAGCAATGAAAAGGAAATAATTGTAGAAATTCATTCACCTAAACAAAATTTGTCAGCCACCCAAAAAAAAAAAAAGGAAATAATCACTCTGAATAGAGAATCACAAGTATTAATTAATATGCATCAACGTAGTGAAATTGAGTAAATGGTTATTGAAAGAACACAAGTACGCATGGGGTAGTCAAATGGAACTCCAAAGCAGATAAAATTAGAAAACCATGTTGCTTGCTGAACTTCTAATTTCTTTCTTTCTTCCTTTCTTTTCTTTTTTATTTTATTTTATTTTATTTCATTTTTTGGTATAAGGGGACTTGTATTAGAAAGAGGAGAGAAGAAACTAGAAAATGTCGGAGCAAAATATATACTCAAACCATAAATAAAAATAAGATCACAGAACACAGCATAAAATAACAAAAGCCCTATGAAACTAGTCTGCATAAAATAGCTGTCCAATGTCTTTACAAATTACCAATGAGAAGACATATGCATGATTCTACCCCATAACATATTGAAACACAAATATATGCATCAGAAGATCTAGACATTCTCTTCATCAAGACAAACCATCAAATCCCATAAACTGTATGGTGCCACAGCTTTGGTTTTTTTTTTTTTTTTTTTTTGCACCCAGCCCTTAAAACAGAATCAAGAGAAATTAATCCAAAGTACAAGAACACGCAAAACTCACCCTAGCAGTTCCAAAGAGCTTTTTTCACTAATAGTCTGAATAGTCAAATTTGAAACACCTAACTTCTTGATTCCAAAACGTACAAGGGCTTAAAAGTCAAATTCTGAAAGTTTATGCTGTACTCAATAAATGTAAACAGATAAACAATCAGTTTATTTAATTGGAGAGTACTATACTTCTGCAAATCAAGACATAAAGAATCTCTTCCATTCAACTTTTCCCTAAAATACAAAACAAATGTGTCCACTGCTGACAAGACTGTCTTTTGTTGGCCAGTTCATTGAGTTCATCAGTATACTAAACACCTAATGAATTCAAACTTACAAATAATCAAGTACTCATTATATATAAAGCAACAATGTCCTTCATTCTGAAAAAAGAAAGTATTGCAGCTAACAAAATCGTTTTGAGTTCTTATTTAAACTGATCAGATGTTAGAGATGCGTGGCTATGTTGACTTGTTGCTTGTGAAGCCATAAGACCAGGCATTCACCAGAAAGTCATGAAATAGAAGGAAAACATACACAGAAAACATCACCTGCCCATAACCTACGTCAACTCCATAAACAAAGGATGCACCATACTGAAGTAAGCAATCAGTAAATCCGCCAGTTGACAACCCAGAATCAAGAGCTACTTTACCAGCAACATCAACACTGAGCTGCTCAATTGCAGCTTCTAACTTATATCCAGCTCTGCATTGGCATAGGTAAGCAAGAAAAAAATTATTTTCACCCAACATTGGTGCAGAGATATCATACCATCCACCTATGGAGTTTGAGGATTCACCTACATACATATTTGGGAATTTCAGCCTTGATCTCCACAACAGCTTTGTCAGACACCGGGGTCCCTGCTTTATGTATCACCTTTCCATCCACATATACTTTGCCTAATCACATATGTTGGTAGTTTTAATCATTAACGATTTAATTGATTTTATCACAATGACTGAGTATACAAGAGTGGATGAGAATCTACTGTGAACCCTAGTTCCTCATACATAAATTCACATAAATATTTAGCATGAAGAAGTAAGACAAATGTTCAAAAAATTACAGAAATAAATGGTGCTGAACCTAAAGTTTCAAAGAGACTTAAACTAGCTGCTATTGCAGTCTCCAGTTTAATATATTGTAAGGCAGTAGTGAATTCAAAACTTACTACGCTATATAGACAATGAAGCATGTATAAATCAAATGACAGCAAAACCTAAGATAATTCAGTGAACAAATGAACCTATAAGGTGGGACATGGTTTCTGTTTCCATAACTGAAAAAGAAAAGATATTCCAAATGACACCATAATTGTAAAAATATTGCAACATGCATAATAGCTGCTAAAGTCCTTTTTACCTTACTTTCATTGCTATTCAAGATAGCTAAAATCCAATACAAGGTGGAGTTAAACAATCCAAAGCTTTCAACACCATCGAAAGCTCTAGCATCAAGTTAGTTTTGAATTTTTAATAACAATACCCAGATTAAGAAAACAAAACAACAAATAGCATAATTCAAAACAATAAGTCCAACATAAGGACAAGAAATAGGAATATATGGCTTTCCAAATAGTAGCAAACCTTCAACTTTTTTTTTATTTCTCATTAATTCAAGAATCAAATCGGAAGCCCATTGACAATACTCTGACAGTCTGACTATGGCTAGAAAACTTATCATACAATCAGAATTTTTAAAGCATACCCAGGACTGCCGTATACTAACATACAATAGCAATAACTAGGATGACTATAGGCAGCTAAGATATTAGTCCAATTAAGTAACGTGGCCAAATGTACAAGTCTAATTTGAATGTTTAAAGACGCACCAGATGCCATACATTGCATGACACTGTAGAGATCTCAACAGTCAATACAAGGCACACAATAGTTGCAGAATAGCTTTGCGTTGCAAAATCAACAGAGAACCATAGACTAATTGTCCAGCTTAAACTTGACATCTTTGTCCAAAATACAGATGATAATGATTTAACTTAATGAGTTCTGCAAAATTAGAATATTTTAATATAACCTCATAAAATGCAAACTCTTTACAGTGTTACTATCATGACCAGTTGAGTTCAATTGACTAGTTGATTATTGTAAATCAAGTGAACAGCTTAACAGAAAATTGACATATCAATTATAGGGTTACCTTGTAAAATCCATGATTGGATAAAAGATCGACTGTACTGCTGAAATCTTTCAAGACATATCTCATCCAGCCTCCTTTTCCTAAAAGGTAAACAGAGTGTAATGTCATTCAAAAGCATGAACAACTTGATACAAAGCATTTCAGAACAGTCAATGTACTTCTTTAGGATGGAATAAAAACCCAATTAATAGAAGAGAAAGAAAAGTAAAAAGAAAGTACAAGATAATTCCTATCATATAGAGAAAGGACAAAAGTTAATAATAGAATCATCAAAACAGAAGGCATTCTAATCACATTGATTTCAAATACTGAACCATACAATCCAACCATTGCACATCTCTAAAATTGTTAGCACTTCTTCCTCCTCTAAAACCAAAAACTAGCATTGTTCCTTTGAAGTGTTAGACAAATGAATTCTTTGATATTCATGCATCGTTAAACTACTAAAGTGAAATACACATTCCAAAGCCCCATTAAGCTTTAGCACCAAGAAAAATCATTCATGTTAATCTTATCAAGGACCATGATAGAATAGATGCCCTTGGCTTTGGATGAGTACTTTTATTATTATTATTATTATAAAAGGAGGGAATTATAGATCAGGAGGATCATCTCATCCCAAAAGGAAGGTCAATCCTATAAGGAGCACAATTTGCATAAATCCACCACACCTTGGCCTTCTTTCCAAAACCTTAATATCAAGCATAGAGGGGGAAAAGAATTGACCAGTAGGACGATTGTGTATATTTATTAAGTCAATAAAGACAGAAAACAAAAGAAAGACGGAATGCCCCTTCTTAGAAGCAGCCTTCCAAAAGAATAGGAGAATCATCACTATAATTATACTCCAATTAGAGCTCGTGCTAAAAAGAGACATCTATACCTAACCTGTACAGGTAATTTCTTTCCTCATAGATTTGCTTTACATTTTAGAGGCATTTAAGAACTAGCTTGCTCCTGGTTTCAAGCTAAATCAACTAACTTCTGTTTCAAGTTCCGACAATCATACTGAACAGAACCAAGCAAACCTTTTTAAAACCAAACAAATGTATCGATTCACCTCAGTTAACTTCATTTCTATCCTCCAATTCCTTTATTAACTAGCATGAGGTCTATAAGTGACCTAGATGTGAAGGAGGGGAAAAGGCATAACAGAATAAAAACATCATACTTCTTTTGATACATCAGGAGGATTTGAGCCTTGACCTCTACCCCCACCCCACCCCACCCTCACTCTAAATAGGTAGAAACTGCTGTGATGTAGGGAATAAAACAAGCTACAAGTAGTTAGATTATTCCCAGTTATGCAGATTTCATATTATATTCAAAGATGAAGCAATTGCCGCATTTTATGTAGCCAAGCAAATTCTCAATACGGCATTATATCAATCATTGCTAAAAAAAATTAGCAATTCCAAAAGACTAAAAGAGATTGTCCTTAGTTATAATGGGGGTGTGCTTTGTATATCTAAGTAAATACAAATGTGAAATTTGTCTATAAATTTGATTGAGCAGCTTAAGCTCCTGCAACTAATGCTGTGCCCCCTGAATTGATTTTAAATTGACAAAGATTCACCATACTTCATATGCTTCGGAACCAATTTGATAGGCAAGCAAACACCATGTTATATCACATAACAAAGTAAGCATCCTCGTCAACATAGTCTGGCATTCTGACAATACCAGCTTTCAGCCTTACAATTCAATTAAAAATGGAAGATCAAACGAGATTGAAATAGTTGACTCTGAAGAGTAAAGACTTGACATAGTCGATGGCAAAGCAAAAATAAAAAAGCTTACTTCTTCATCGGTTGAAGCTTTTCTGATTTTGCAGCAGCATAGCTCCGGAAGGAACTTGGAATTTGAACAGTGACACATCTCACTAAAACAAATTCCAAGAATAACATCAAAAAAATTGAAGGCAAATATATCTCAGTACACAGGGGAACTTGAAAGTCTTTAGGTTTGAATCCCCTGCAACTTGTATTCATAAGTGAGAAACTTGAAGCGCAGTGGAAAATAAAACAATAGAAGTGGGCAAAAACAGATTGAAGTGTCTGTGAAAATAGATAGAATTTGAAAGAGAGCTTACCAGTGAGCTCCAGAGTTTTAGATTGAGAGAAGAAAAGAAAGGTTCTGTCACTACCCAACCCGCGGGTTATGGTGAAGGGAAGCTTCAGAAACTGTATGGTCATTTCTGGTTTAATTTTCTATCCACCTTCCCCCATAGCCGAACGACGAAGCTGAGATACGCACCAAACCAGCCATGCTTGGATTAAAGAACGAGGGTAGGTCTGAAAATAATTTGAAGGTCTGAAAATATTTTGAAGAATACTTTCTAGGGTGTTGAGTTTGGACCGTCTTGGTTTGGTATTATCGGAATGAGTCCGGTCCCGTTTAAAAACAATCAATAATCAGGACAAAACTTTATAAAATGAAATAAAAAAAGCTTTGGATGAGATAAGATATGAAATTACTATCAACACGTTCCATCTCATACCAAATATTATATATATATATATATATATTATTTTTTATTTTAAATATATTAATTATATTAATATAATTTATTATTATATTAATTATAATTTTCATACTTACAATTCTTATTTAAAATTAAATTTTTTTTATATTAATAATTTTAATGACATTGAGTAAATATAGCGATATCTTTCTTTATAGTATATTAATTACATTAATATAATTTATTATTATATCTATCTATTTAATAACTTTTATTTATAATATATTTCTTATTTTATTTTAAAAAAATAATTAGCTTAGTACATCTCCACTAAAGTAGAAGAACAATGATTTAATATTGTGCTTGACCTGCCTGTTATTGTGACTCTTATAGCCTAAAGATCACTTATATTTACTATTATAATGTGTAGTTGTGATTAATGTAATTCAATAGCTGAGTTTAAATTATTGTGACTTATGTATTTATGTTGTTTTGATGTTAAACTTAATAAATTATAAAATTTAAAATTTTAAGGAACGTTATTATTCAGATATTTCTTCGATATTATCCAATTTATCAGGACAGCGAAACGTCTTGATCTTATTCTAGTCCCGTCTTGACTCCTAATAAGACGGGACCGGACATGGGATCAAAATTCAATCCTTATTTTTTTTTTTTTCCGGAATGGTGAACACCCCTAATACTTTCATCAAAATCCAACAAAGAGTGGACTCCATTGGGCCTTTACCGCCAGCCCACAAATCAACATGCAACGTTTAAAGGGTCAGCCCAGTTAGCATTGTAAACAGCTCGTTTACCAAAAGTTATTTAAAAAACAATGGTCAAATTATAATTCAAATATTTTTTATTTAAATAGTATGGTGTCGTTTAAAAATTTAATATTTTAAATAGGATGGGTTTAGATTTCAATTTCATATTTCTTTTTGAAAAAAAAAAATTATTTAAGAACTCAAAAATTAAAAAGTAGCAGTACAATTTTTTTCTTAAAAAAAAAGGCATTCATTGAAAGATTAAAATTATTAAAAAAATAAAAAATATTGCTAACATGATTTAAAATTACAATGCAGTATTTGAAAATATGAATAATAACTTCTTTGTAAAGTATTTATAGAATTTTAATTTTAATTTTTTAAATTTTGATCTCTTAATAGAATTTTAAAAAAATTATTAACTAAAGTATACTTTTAATCTTCTAATTTTATATAAGTTTTAAATTCAATTCCTTAATTTTATAAAATATCTTTTCAATCCCTTAACATAATACCATTAATTTCAAATGATTTTTTTTATATCAATTATTGTTATTGTAAAAAACTAAATTTAATATGCCAACATTTGAAAATATTACTTTCTCTTTTCAAAAATATAAGGTATTTTTAAAGAGTTAAATGTTAAAAAATGTAAGACATTTTTAGTCTTTCAAAGTATAATCATTATTTTTTTTAAAGTGCCTCTATTGATAAATAACTTTATATTTATTGTAGAATATTTAATAAGAATAATTATAAAAAGATAGAGTTAGTTTGAAAGTAAGTAACTACTTTATTGAAGAGTAAGATTTGATTAAAAATACTTTATATTTTTTAATAGAAAAAATATCATTAAAGTTTTTTAACATTTAAGAAAGTAGGAAATAACATTACTTAGCGCCTAGATTAACCAGTGGGGGATTGTTCCACTTAACCTGAGCCCCTGTTAGCTATTGAGTCCCCTTAGCTTAACATAGGGTAAGCCTAAGATATTGAGTGTACGAGGGGGAAAAAAAAAGTAAAAAATGACATTATGGTTTGGTAGTAATGTGGTTGTAGGATTGGGTGGATTTGTTTGTCATAAAATTAATAGTCTTAGAATTAAGAAACTTAAAAGACAATTTATAAAATTAAAACATCATAATAAAATATATGTCCTCCGTTTAAAAATGTAAGATATTTTTAACTAAATTTTACCCCTCAATAAAGTAGTTATTTACTTTTAAACTAATCTTGTCTTTTCATATTTATCTCTATTAAACACTCTATAATAAATATAAAGTTACTATCAATAGAGACACTTTTTTTTAAAAAAAGCAATGATTACATTTCGAAAGACTAAAAATGCCTTACATTTTTTAACATTCAACTTTTTAAAAAATGCCTTATATTTTTGAACAGAAAGAGTAGTATAAAATCAAAATATTAAAAATATATTTTAATTAAAATTATTTTATAAAAGAATAGATTTTATTTATTTTTCTTGATGTTTGCTGTTTTGTATGGAAATAATTTAATTTTAACAAATATGCCACTTCAATTTATAAAATTAAAACATTAAAATAAAACATAATATACAATCAAAAGATTAAAGGTATACTTTAATCAAAATTATTTTATAAAAGAATAGATTTTATTTATTTTTCTTGATGTTTGATGTTTTGTTTTGGAATAATTTAATTTTAACAAATATGCCACTTCATATAAACATATATATATATATATATATATATAATATTAGGTTCACCATTAGCAATTCATCTTGCGCGGGCGAGAACCAGAAAATTCCTATCGCTTCCTCTCCGCGTTTTTCATTTTTCAGGACTTACAATCAGAAATACTAACGGTCTTTCCGTTACGCTCTCTTTTTCGCTCTTCGCTCTCTAACTACCACCACGAGTCCTGCGTGCTATACCATGGCAGTTCAAGCAATTCAACCTCAAACAGCTTTCCTTTACTCTTCTTCTCCAACAGCATCTTCATCAGTTCAACGCTTCCGTTTCAGATTAGTGGGTTCAAGCCCTTCCAAAAAGTCTCTCAAACTGAGGTGCAGATCGAGCAGCAACGATGGCGAGGAGGTATGTTTGATTAATTACCATCTTAGCTTTTGCCTCTTTAGAACATTCAAGCGACGGTTTGGTCGTTCTGTTTCAGGATGATCTACTGGATGCTCCGGTTTCAGTCGGAGATGGCTTCTCTTTTAGTGGAGGTACTTTTCAAATTCCATTTTGAGTTTCTAGGAATGCAAATGCAGTAATACCATTTGTTTCGTTTTGAATAATACATAAGAATAGTTTGCTATCTTTGGATAGGAAAATATTCAGACGAGCCGACCCCAAGTGATGAATGGTTTAAGCAAGGGAGAATGGTGGGCATTGTAAATTACATCTTGAGCTTAATACTGCAGAAATTATGTAGAAGTTTTCAAGATGACTCATATTGTTGATCTATTCAGAAAGAGAAGTTATTAAAACATCAAATTCCCGAGACATATTGTGAAGCTTTTTATTTTTGGCCTGAAAAACAAAATTATGATTTTCTAAGGTGAAAGCCCATTCAATTCTGGGCACTGGCGAAAAGGCTAAAGATCCAATCTTTGGACTAACAATGGGGACCGGTTCTCAAGCCACTGGTGATCTTTTCAGGTAAAATGACATTGTGTATTTATAATGGTCATGAATCAATAATTTTTTTTATTCATGCTGAAGAAAATATGAGAATGGAAATAATGGAATTGGAAAACTAGATGTTGATTTGGTTTTTGGAGTTAGAATCATCACGAGTTTGTAAAAAGATGTACAAATTTGTAAAGATAAAACATATTTACTCTAATTGTTAGGATTTGAGGCAAGGACTGAAAATATTTTCATCTATGATACTAAGAAGTTACTAACTGAACCATATTTTGTGTTAAACGATTTGCTGCAATAGATGGTTCTGTGTTGAAAGCGGAAATGCTGATAACTCTCCAGTGATATTAATCCATGGTTTCCCTTCACAGGTGAGTTGTAATTGTCAGCTATTCCTCACATAGATCTAACTCATATCGAATTTAGGTGCCAAGTTTGTATGATGAAGTTTTACATTGTTGATTCCTTTATAGTTTCCTTTGTATAATGTTATTTTCAAGCTTTTAACAAGGAATGAGTTTAATTTTCAATTTTTAGCTGCTATGTTTCACTTCAAACCACCCTCTGAGGTTGGAGGAGGGACAAGACGTAGACTCAACACTATGCTAAAACTTAAATTTTATATAAGAATGGGATATTGAGCGTAAAACTTCTAACCAAACAATCTAAGAGCTTGAAATCTTGCAAAGAACCTTCAACATAAATCCTTAAGTTGCTAGGTAAAGCAATCTGGCATCAATTTTATTTCCCAAACTTTCTTAGATATGCAAATGCTAACCTGAATACCTGGAGTTAGCTTGTCCCTTATTTTTCACATTGATAACAAACAGTTTTAATGTCAATTTGATGCTACTAACAGGCATATTCTTATCGCAAAGTCCTTCCTATACTCGCTAAGGACTATCATGCCATTGCTTTTGATTGGCTTGGTAAGATCTTTTTGTTTGAATTGTTATCAAAATTACTTTGTTACTTTGTTTGAATTGGTAAGATCTTTTTGTTTGAATTGTTGGAGCTAGCTGTTGAAACTTATGTCCTTTTGTTTCCATCTCTTCATTCCTTATTTATTGTGTTTTCAGTTGCGGAAAAAAAATTGTCAAGACAGTACATGTTAGAAGCCACAAAATGTGTTGTTAAGGGGTTCCTAGCATAGTAAGAGGTGAGAAGGTAACAAAGAAAACAACACCAACAAGAATGATAAGGAAGTACTAAGGCACCCCAACAGACTATGAGACAAGACAATTGAGCAGTCTAACTAAAGAGTGGCTGTTGAAACCCAAGAGCTCTTACCATTAGTGGGAGAGTGAGGAGTCCTAATTGTGAATTCTTTCACTGAGCATATCAATTGCAAAATATGTTCTTGAAGATGGTTTCCTCTCAGAATGGGGCAGTTCAAATGCTCAAAGACATTGGTTGTACAAGCAATGTGGTGCTTTTTCTCACAAAAACTAATAAGAGGTACAAATTGGGGAAATAATGGCACAATCTGAATTGTGTCTGTGTAAAGGAACGGATCATTACTATTGAGGGGATGAAGGATTTCAGGAAGGAAACTTTGGTCTTTTTCCAGCAGTTCTTGTGGCAGTTAGCATAGTGGCCTTACAGACTCAAATTATGCTGCCTTATTTCTACAAGTGCCCTTAGTAGGCTCTCATTCCTATGGCATGAATTATTTAAACTTTACCATTTACCATGGAGATGTTTGTGACTAGTGAGGACATCTAATTGACTTCCTTGTGACCATGAGACACTACATTTGGCTCCAAAATTTGGTTTAACCTTTCAAAGTGGCTATTAATAACTTATTAAAGGAACTATATCTTATTGGATACTGTCAAAAGTATTCAACCTTAACAGTCATTTGCTTAAGAAGAGAAATGCCGTCTGGAGATGCATTTTTAATGTTTGAGATGTATTTTGTGGCATGTATGAATTGTTCAATTGTTGCCAAAAAGTTTCTTTTTTTGTTTTCTTTTGGCCAAAACTATTGTTAAAAGGTTTAGGTTTACTTCCCTTAATTTGTTCTCCTCTTTCAGGATTTGGGTTTTCTGATAAGCCTCAACCTGGATATGGGTTTGACTACACCCTAGATGGTAAATGCTGTGGTGGTTGTTCTCCTTAACAATATTCAATACTTATATTTATTTTCTTTCTCTTGGACATGCAATGGTATAAGAGTAACTTTATTTTGTCTTCCTTGCAGAATATGTGTCATCTTTGGTCTCGCTTGTCAATGAACTTGCCGTTGGTAAAGTGTCGCTTGTTGTTCAGGTAAGTTTGTGTTCTTTGGTAAGATTTTTGGGTTTGTTAATTTAAATTATCTGCTATATGAATTTAATCTGAAATCCTTCAACCTTCTTTATTCGCAGGGCTACTTTTCACCAGTAGTAGTTAAGTATGCAAGCTTTCATCAGGAAAAGCTCAACAACTTAATACTCGTTAATCCTCCTGTACGTGTATTTTACACACCAAGCTCAATTAGTTCTTGCAAAAACTTTTCCCGAGTGTTATGCAACTTTTATTTTATTTTATTGTTTGTTCCTAAAATAGCACTATCTTCTTCATGTTTTCAAATTGATTTTTGGCATGATTGTTCAGTGTATTGATTTACCCTACTTTTACTGTTTTTAGGATTCTATTCTGAGTGTGGATTTTAGGATTATGATTGTCCTTTATACTTTCCTGTTATATGTTATGTGTATAACTCTTGAAAGTATATTATAGCCTTTGAGTTTTTAGTCATCCAATATACATAACTGTTGTTTAAGCAGAATATGATTTGGAAATATAAAGTGACTTTTTTTTCCTCTATGATCCTCTTTTTCTCAAGTTGTGGTGATAATTACTGGCTTCAATGCCTTTCTTATTTTATAAGTTAACAGCTAAACATGTCAAGCTTCCGTCAACATTATCTGCATTCAGCAACTTCCTGCTAGGTGAAATATTTTCTCAGGTATGAAAGTTTTTTGTTTTCTTTTAATAAAACATATACCACTAATGCATTGTATATCTGTTGGAATTAATAGTTTGGCTAACCCCTATAAGTTTCTAATTAATGTATTGCTCCATTGCTCACTAGGATCCTTTAAGGGCCAGTGATAAACCTCTGACTAGCTGTGGTCCTTACAAAATGAAAGAAGAAGATGCGATGGTCTATAGAAGACCTTATCTCATATCTGGTTCCTCAGGTTTTGCACTAAATGCAATTAGCAGGGCCATGAAGAAAAGCCTCAAGGTGATTTTTTAAAAAATATCAATTTCAAAGGATATTAGAATAATTGTGCGCAGTTCTTGTTTGCATTGTACAGTTTCTCTAAGGTATTGAGATTGCTGAGAATTTGAAGGTGCATTGGTCTATCATACATGGAACTCTATTGTTTTATTTTCTTTTTATGGACATAACTGTCTAGTTATTACCTGTAATTATGTGGATGAAGTTTGACACAAACATTCATTGAATCTAAGATTGATATTTCAGATTTACAAGAGATATTAATAAAATTGATCATGAACCTTCACTCAGTAGCTTAAGCTGCTACCTGTATATACTTCCTTCATTAAGGATTGAATGATCAAATTGTCATTTACTTTATATGACATTTTTCTCACGTTTTCTTTGTTTTCCTCTTGAAAGATCCAAAATGACAACCAGGGAGAATAACGAATGTGGTTATTTTTCTTGCTTCACTTTTCTTGGCAGACCTATGTGGAGGATATGAAGAAAATACTTCAAAATCAAAACTGGAAAGTTCGAACAACAATATGTTGGGGTCAAAGAGACCGCTGGTTGAGCTACGATGGAGTGGAAGATTTCTGCAAGGATTCTAACCATACGCTTATTGAAGTTCCAAGGGTAAACACTGAACTAATCTGTTGCACATGCTTGCTCTAGGGATAATGTTTTTGTTTCACTTATTGCCTTTGGATAAACTTATTGTTAAATGAATGTCTTCCCAGCAGTATTCTCTTCTCAATTTATCATGAACATAATTTTATTACTATTTCCATACCTGAAGGTAGCTAGTTGAGCTTCTATGGCTATCTGTTTGTTACAGTTGCTCATAATAATATGTTATCTCACGAAAATCAATTATATCATTCATTTTCATGGGAAATAATTCTTGTGGATTCTGTGTTGGAAACTACACGCTTCTACCATAATTATGATTTTGGTGGTTTTTAACGTGAAACCAAGCATGCTTTCATTTTCCTTCAGTGTGTGTGTAGTTTCACATAGGACACAATCTGCTCCTACCAAAATCATGGTTCTGGTGCACGCCCTCATTTTTCTACTTGTGTGTTCCCCAAGGTTTCATCACTTTTTTAGATGATGTGATCTTAACTTTAACAGTGAATATACTGAAGAACTAGCCTTCTACTTTACATATCTTCCTTCTTTTGCCAGTTAAACTTGCTCCCATGGGAAATAGGTATATTTAACTTATTGCACTTTGCAGGGAGGACACCATGTGCAGGAAGATTGTGGTGAAGAACTAGGACGGATTATTTATGGAATAATGAGAAAAAGGAACTGAATTTGATTGTATATTGATAATTTCCTCTCGCTACATTCAAATTCTTACTTGTGTAAGGTTTGCCTCAACATAAAGTTTGCACTTCAATAGAATGGACTGAATGTTTTCACTGTAGAGCCATATGCACAAACCAACCCACCCAATCCAACGCCCACACTATTCCATTTCCTACTTTTTTTTTTATTGCTTGTACACCTGGTATTCTAAGCTTACCCCATGTCGAGCTGAAGGGACTTAACAAGGGCTCAGGTTAAAGCAACCTCTTACCAGTTAATACAAGCACTTAAGTGGTGTCACTTCTTACTTATCTAGTAAGATAATAGTTTTCTTCACTTATGGACATTAAATCAATGATTGTGACATGTGGAAAAACATGATAGATTTTTACATCATAAATTCCTGAACTTGTTATGATTAATATTTTTATGATATCTTGGACTAATTATTCATCTTCTTTCCTTTATAATTTTTGGCTTGTTGAGTAAAAGGCCCAAATCATGAAATAATGTTTTGAAAAGTTTCCTGGCAGCCGAGTTTCAACAAGTTGGCCTTAAAGATTTGCGTTCTGTGGAATAATTCCTTGGGAGCTGATATTGCTGAACATGATATGATGGCCTTTTGCCCGGATTAGCATATAACAAACGCTGATTTCCCCTCCATTGCAAAGGAAGACCAATCATGTAAATAAAACAGGGTTCCCTCGTGTGTATATATATATTGATAAATATTGGAATGACGCAAACTTTTTTAAAGAAAATAAATATATTATTAAATTAAAACTACTTTAATCTAGTGGTAAATATTCTGTCAAAAGATTCTCAGTTTAATAATAAAACTTAAATCTTCTTATGATAATTGAATTGAGTGATTAGAAACTTACTAAATTAGGTTTCAAATTTAAGATTAATTAATGTATTAAAAAAAAAGGTTAAACAAAAACTTCTACTGAAGTTCCAAGGGTAAACACTGAACAAATCTATTGCACATGCTTGTGCTGATGGGCATGGTTTTATTCACTTGTTGCCTTTGGATAAACTTATTGTCAAATGAATGTCTTCCTAACAGTGTTCTCTTCTCAATTTATCATGACCACAATTTTATTACTATTCCCATACCTAAGTGTTGCAAACTGAGCATCTACAGCTATCTATTTGTTATAGTTGCTCATAATAATCTATTATTTCATGAAAGTCTTTCTTTCTTTCTTTCTTTTTAGCCATTTCATGAAAGTCAATTACATCATCCATTTTCATGGGAAATAATTCTTGTGGATTCTACATTGGAAACTACACGCTTCTACCAAAATGATAGTTTTGGTGGTTTCCAATGTGAAACCAAACACACTTTCATTTCACATTGGAAATTTCCTTCATCTACAAAATCATAGTTCTGGTGGTTTCCAACGTGAAATCAAACATGCTCTCATTTTTATACTTGTATGTACCCAAGGTTTCATCACTTTTTCATATGATGTGATCGTTACTTTAATAATGAATATACTGAAAGAACTAGATTTGATAATTTGGGGTTGGCCGGCTTATTCTGGTTGGGCTCAATTTGGGTCTGGCTTATTCAGATCAATTTTGAAGTATCTTACCCTTTTAAAATGCCTATATAGTCAAACTCAGCCTTAACTTGTTTTGAGCAAGGTTGGGCTATCTCATCGGGTTTGGCCAAAATTATCATCTCTATATACATATAGAGCTGAAAATTCTAATGGTCGGACTTATTTGGATCTAGTTTAGAGTATCCTACCCTCTTTAAAAAGGCCATATAACCAAGCATGGGCCTAACTTTTTTCGATCAAATTGGAGATGACTCATCGGGCTTTGCCCAAATCACCAAATGTATGAAGAACTAGTCATCTGGTTTACATATCTTCCTTCTTTTGCCGGTTAAAATTGCTCCCATGGGAAAGAGATATATTTAACTTATTGCACTTTGCAGGGAGGACACCATGTGCAGGAAGATTGTGGTGAAGAACTAGGACAGATTATTTATGGACTAACGAAAAAAAGGAACTGAATTTGATTGACTGTGTTGATAATTTCCTCTCGCTGCATTCAAATTCTTAGTTGTGTAGGGTTTGCTTCAACATAAACCTTTCACTTCAATGGAATGGACTGAATGTTTTCACTGTAGAGCCATATGCACAAACCAACCCACCCAATCCTTCCCCCCACGCTAGTGCCACACCATTTTGTCATTTCTTACTTTTTTTTTTATTACTTGTACACCTGATATCCTGAGCTTACCCCACATCAAGTTGAGGGGACTTAATAAAGACTCAAGTTAAAATAATCTCTTACTAGTTAGTACAGGCACTCAATCAGTGGTGTCACTTCTTACTCTGCTTGTAAAATAATAGTTTTCTTCACTTATGGACATTAAATCAATGATTGTGACATGTGAAAAAACGTGATAGATTTTTACATCATAAATTCTTGGACTTATTATGATTAATATTTTTATGATATCTTGGACTAATTATTCATCTTCCTTCCTTTATAATTTTTGGATTGTTGAGTAAAAAGCTCAAATCATGAAATAATGTTTTGAAAAGCTTCCTGGCAGCCCAGTTTCAACAAGTTGGCCTTGAAGATTTGCGTTCTGTGGAATAATACCTTAGCAGCTGATATTGCTGAACATGATATGATGACCTTTTGCTCAGATTATTATATAACAGACGTTGATTTCCCCTCCATTGGAAAAGAAGACCAATCTTGTAAATAAAACAAAGTTCCCTCACAATATACATTTATATATATATATATATATGGTGGAATGGAATGACGCAATTTTTTAAAAGAAAATAAATATATTTTTAGATAAAAACTACTTTAATTTACTGGTAAATATTCTGTCAAAAGATTCTCCCTTTAATATAAAATTTAAATCATCAGATGATAATTGAATTGAGTGATTAGAAACTTATTAAATTAGGTTTCAAGTTTAAGATTAATTAATGTATTAAAAAATGTGTAAAAAAATATCCTATTTAAGACACAACCTCATTCAAATTTAGATTAGTAATATAAGCTCTATAAAAAGTTCTAATTTATTTCGCATTTTACATAATTTAAAAACCAAATGTACAATTTATGATGTTATTATCAACTAGTTTATCACATGTGCGTTGTACGAGATGTTAATTTTGCAGATTATTCTTAGTGTTAAATGGTGACAGTTAGTACAAAATAAGTAGTTATATGAGTGAAACAAAAATATGGTATTAGCAAACCACGACAATCCCCTGTTTTTCTTCTATGATGACACGCGAATGCAAGCTGATTAATTTTGTAGAAATGAACTATTATTTACTCAAGGTTTCGTTTAGAAATACAATGCATGTATTTAATTTGTGTGGATGCAATGAATTAATTTTGAATTTGATTCTTTAACTTTTTGAAAGTATAATCATAGATTAATTTTGTGAATAAATTACTTCGCATGTTGGTCAACTTTGAATCATTATTTATGATATGGTATGGATTTGATTTTTTTTAATCTTCTACATTGATTATCCTAGAATGTTAGAAAAACAATTCAGATTAAAAAACTGAAATAATAAAATATTGCGTTCAAGTAAACCAAAAAGAAAAAAGAAAACATACTAAATATTGATTATGATCATTGACCATATGATTCAGGCTGTTAAAATGTATGAGGTTTTATCAAATGTGACTTGCAATGCTTCAATTTGGAGTTTTAATTTCATTGTATCTGATATCAACGTATAAATTGTGTGTATTGTTTGATTTTTTTTATTTCCACGTCACGTGCAATCTATTACAGTGGCGATGCCAGGACCTTGTACTATGAGGTGCAACATTTCTAAAATTAATAATTAAAATAATTAAAAAAAATTGAACCCAAAATCTTTAAAATTGGGTCAAGAGGTGCAAAATATTTGAATCAAGGAGTGCAAAATATTAAAATATATAGATATTCCTTGTAATTTTTTCCAAACTAAGGGGTGCATTTGCTCCTTTTAAATATAATGCATTGTGGCCCATGCAATCCAATATATATGTCATTTGATCGAGCGTAATATTATTTATTTAACTCAACTCACTTATTAGGGCAATATCATGCAAGCTAGAGTCGAGATTCCATGGGTGAATAATTTATTTATAATTTTAAAGAGTTTCTGGTATAATGTTTGTTTAACTGATTTTCTATATTCTACCAGCTTTTTTATGAAATAGACACTTCTTTAGAGCTATGCAATGAGGACATTCTTGCACCTACATTAAGTTTTAAATCTCTCTTCTTTTTTTTAATCGAGAGCTTTAAATCTCTATTGGAGATTGCAAACACATCAATGATTTATACTACATTCATAAGTAATTGGTACTCCGATTTAGTTATGTTTGATTCATTTATATTCTATTATTCATGATATTTGTGCTTGTAATTACGAATCCAAAAACATATGAATGATAAAATATCCAATTTAAAATGTAAATATCATAAATAACGGAATATAAATATTATATCAAACATAACTAAAGATAAGCACCAATTACTTATGAGTGTGGTAGAAACTGTTGATGTGTTTGCAATCTCCAACAGAGGTTTAAAGCTTATTGTAAGTGTAGGAACATCCTCATTGCATAGATCAAAAGAAGAGCACTCTTGACACACAAAAAAAGTAGGTACTTTGGAGAAATGCAATTAAACAAACATTGTACCAGAAACCCTCAAAAATTATAAGCAAAGTCTTCACGCATGGTATGAGAAAAACTCAACATAGCCCACTCAGTCTCAACTCTGGCTTGCATGATATAGTCCTAATAAGTTAGTTAGAGAGTTAATAAATAGTATAATACCTGATCAAACGACATATATTGGATTGTATACACGACTTAGAAATAAAAAGTCAAATAGTACAAAACAACCATACCTTTATCAAATAGTTAAAACTAAATAGTTAAAACTCCAAACTAAAGCATTGTGAGTCACATTTGATAAAACCTTATGCAAAAGAAGTAGTGACCTTCTTCAAGCTCGGATAGGAGTTGAATATCAGTACAGCAACCCATTGCGGGGAAAAAAAAAATTCAAAAGAAGCCTTCAGCAATCTGATCAGGGGTTGAGGAAAATATGCAATT